AAGAAACACATTTTTTTGCCTTTTCATCCTTCACTCCACTTCGTGAAGTGCTCGGAACAATACAAAAAAAATCAGATGGAGTTCAAAATTTTGAGTGCACTTTTTACTTTTTCCCCTTCACTGAGATAGATTAGTCTGGAAAGCAAAATTATGTGGAAAAAAAATCCAGAAGAAAACACAACAAATCAAATTTCGTCCGTAGTCGTTGAGTCTTTTTGGAAAAACAGTCTATGATCATGATTTTTTTATTTCTCTCGATTAGAGCTCATTTCCTTTTTGATTTACTGTACATTGAATATATAATGTAAATTTATAGAATATACTTGGAACATTTCAGCTTCTGAATTCAGTTTTGATATCTGACGGAAAGCTTACAACAATTTGTTATATTGTCATAAGTTTATGGATTTTTCAAAACATTTTTTGAGAGGAAAAACAATTTTTTAACGATTTCATTTAATGTTATCGAATACATTTTCCAAGGTCAATCAAAGCTAAAAACAAATTAAAAAAACCAAGGGAACCTTTTCCACATACGATTTTGCAGAGCAAAATTTTATAAAAAATCATCGGCTACATTACCCGGGGAAAACTTGGATTTTGAATTTGGCAGTGTAAATTTTTATAAAGGACCAAAAATTCAAACTGAGTGTGCATAGCTTTTTAGGCACTATGATAGATTTTTGCATTTTTCCAAAAATCAAATCAATAAGAGACCCTTTTCTCCCAGACATCAAACCAAAAAAAAAGACAAAAATTCATTTCTTACTGACTACAAAATCTTCACAAACGACCGTAGAACAACAAAAACTAAAGCAACAAAACATGGCGATACACATATCGCAGTTAAACCTGAAATCTCTTTTGTAAAAACAAACTATGAGCTTTTGGATGGCTTGATAGCTCAAAATCAAACTCCCAGTCTATTCCACTTTTGCGGCCTCTACAGCGCATCAATGCCAAGCACCTATTGTCATAGTTGCATTAGAATTTTTCACTCTTCATAAGAGGTGAAATTTCTCTCCTTCAGTTAAACTGCTCAAAAACTTATATTACATGAGAGTAAGTTTTAATGCCAATACCTGGTCATTGATGCAGTCAACAGATTCAAATTTGCAGAATAAAATGAACATGATGATGGATTTCAATCAAGAGCAACATATTCAAACAATTAAGGGCAGACATGACATTTTTTTATGTAAACAATTGAACCTTTTTCGAGACGCAAAGGTTGATTTGAGAACAAACTCTGTATTTAGCCAACAACGCAAAAAAACTTATCCGACCACAATTTTTTATGACCTTAAATATCATGACAACAGACTCACCATGTATCAAAGTTTTTGTAAGGAACCATGTGATTTCGAGTTTTCTCCATCAGAACTGGCGACTGGGTGAAGCTTGAACAGTAATTTTTATATAAGTCTTTTCAGCCATGCTGCTAAATCACGTTCGATCAACTTGTAGAAAGGTTTATAAATCTATTCAAACGAGAAAATCATTCACCGACAGACTTGTTCCTAGGGAATACACAGCCAACATCAAAATCGATGAAAAAGTTAACAATTATAAGTCGACAAGCGATAAATCGGCCCAGCAAATCAAGAAAGACAAAATTGATCAAAATAAAAGAAGAACTTAGATGACAAGTAAATCAAGAGGATCAGCAAGGCTTCGAGGCCAAAAAAATTTGGGAAACTGCATAAATACTTGAAAATTACAAGAAAACCACCGCCTTTGTGTTTTACGACCGCCTTTGTATTGGAAAGAAAAAGTGGCTTTAGGCGACTGATACAAAACAAATTTGTTCATTGATCATTTTCAAAACGTGTTCAAAACACTTGATCTTGAAGTTTGCGGTCTCAACAACAGCACAGTTTTTTGATCATCAAAAGCATTGATTTCTTGCGTGACAAATAAAAAAAAAACGAAAAACTTGAAGACTAACAAAGCTAAGAGACCAAATAAATGTATCTTATTTAGGCTAGCAAATGGTCCGAAAAAGTCAGTTGACTTTTTTTTCAACACAATCACAATTAAAAACTCATGTCCGGTCATCTGGAAAAAGAAGTAAATGGCCAATAATCATAGGTGATTACAAACAATCAGTAATCAGTTATCGTGTTTTTTTTTACTCGAGGTCGAAAATCTTTGAAGCATTCGTATTTGACAAATTGTTAGCTCAATTATTTAGACTGTTCCATCAAAATCCTTTTAGATATTGATTCAGAGGATCTACAACACTTCAAACGAAAAAATTTCTTGACAAAAACATAACCATATAGAAGATATCAAAGCTAATCTCCTCTTGGCTGCATACACCGAATTTGAAAAAGCTTTTAACATAGTTAAACATAGTTTTTTGATCAAAAAAAAATATCAAAAATTGGTATTGGTGGAAACTCCGCAAACACATTTTTTTGAGTGCTGCCTGCAAAAATGTAGAAACGAATTCGTAGCAGAAACCATTTCAGCGACTGGCTATATATTACTAGTGGTGTTCCTCGAGGATCAATAATGTACCCATTATTGTTTCTCTGATTCATCAATGATCTACCAACTAAGTTAAATTCCAAATGCTTTGGCTATGTGGATGATCACCAGCTTCTAGCAGCAAACCCATCAGAGTTACAAATGATATTCCTCAGTAAATGGTATAAAATAAGTACATGAGTCTGTATTTAACAAAATCTCAAAAGTTGGTCTCCAAAATGTTTTCTGATTAACATAAAGCATAAAATCTGGGCAGCTCTGGGCAACGGTTTTCAAAAACCGTAGGAGCATTCTAGCAAACAAAATCAAACTTATCAAAGTAGGCATCCGTGTCATCAAAAATGAAAGTCCACTGTGGCTATATTTTAGCAGAGATATCGAACGGTCTGACTTCTGGAACAAACAATATAAAGCTCAAATCAGTTTAAAGAGTTTAAAAAAAGCGAGTAGATGGGATCCTCAATTAACTAAAAATCTCCTACATCTATATACTCAAAAAACTGTGCCACGAGATGCATTATCTCATTTTTCCCACAAAATTGCGATTAACATATACGACCTGCAATATCTACAACTATGTGACGTCATGTCCAGATAACTCAGTTACGACTCAATAGGTGTCGAGAAAAGCTTTCCGTATCCTCAATTAACGAAACGAAACCGAAGCGAAACCGAAACAATTTTTGATGAAGAGCGCCTTTTGTTTCAACAAACTCTCAGGCTTAATCTTGGAGTTGACCTAATACTGGTGTAAATAACCTGTGAAGTTTAAATAACTTAGACAGCGTTAGAAGTTTGCGAATTTCAGTTTACGCCAACACCCAAATA